GTCCCGACACGGCCCAAGAGGGCCCCAAGACGTCCACAGAAGCGTCCAAGACGGACACAAGAGGGTTCCAAGGGGCGCCCAAGAGAGGACGAGGCGACCTCCGAAACAGCAAGCGGGCGCCCAAGAAGCCCCCAAGAGACCCCAAGAAAGCCTCAGGAAGCTCAACCGAGCCCCCAACATGCCCTTGAACAGCCCCCAAGCAGTCCAAGAACTGCGTCCACAAGAGCGCCCGAGGTGTGCCCGGGAGACCCCCCACGAAGATGCAAGAGGCTGCTGCCCCACAGCCCAGGCACGGTGGCTGGATGAGGCGAGGGCCCCTGGACAGCGCCAGCAGCCCCGCCACTTGTTCGCCAAGGGCACCGACAGGCCCCCAAGAAATTCCAATGAGGCCCGACGGATCTCCGATACGCCTTCAAGAAGCTGGACTGAGACTTCGGTGGCAACTCATGGGAGCCTCCCATACCTTCTTATCGGCTGTTGCGAATTGGCGCTAATCGACGCTAATCGACGCTACATCGATGCTAAATGGACGCCAGCCGACGCTGAATCGGCGCTATGTCATCGACTCCCAGACGCTAATTGACGCTAACCAGCGCTAAAGACAGAATTGCGAGGGCACGCAAGGCTCCCATGCTTTGTTACCCAATGCGACCCAAAAGAGGCTTAGAACAGACCCACAATTCGCCTCCAAAGCGGTCCACGCACGGTGCATGGAACGTGCTGCACGCAGCTGCGCCCTAGGTTACCACGCGCTCGGCGCCCGTGGGGCAGGTCTGGGGGCCATCTTGGGAGCCTGTGGGGGCGCGTTGGGGCCCTTTGGGACGGCTTGGGGGGTTCTGGGAGCGGTTTGGGGGGCGTCAGTGAACATTCCAAACATTTAGGTCTTCCTAAAGGAATGGGATGGTTGTTGCCTATTCGGGCCCTCTTGGGGGGCCTCTTGGGGGCCCCATTGGATTTTCTGTGGGGGCTCGCCATCGTCGCCGCCGCCGTCGTCGTCGTCGTTATCGTCGTCGTCATCGTCGGGTGGTTTTGGAGAGCGCTGAAATCATTCAAAAACCAAAAAAATGATTGCTAGCTTCGCGTACCACTCCTAATGACCGCCGCCTCACCCTGCCACCGTGCTTGGATTGTGTGTCAGAAGCCTCTTGGACGCTCGTCGGGGTCTCTCGGGAAGTCTCTGGGGAGCCTCATGGCGACAATGTTTGAAGTCTCTTGGGCCCGTGTCGTGCCCGTTTGGAACCTTTTTGGGGTGTCACAGGAGCCTCTGGGGTCCTCTTGGGGTGCTTTGGGGGGCCTGGTGGCAGTATCGGGGGTCCTCTCGGGGCGGAAAGCTCGAACTGTCAGTTCGAGTTTCCCCTCTGGGGCCCATCTTGGGACCATCTTGGGGAGCTCTTGGGCCGTCTTGGGCGCCTCTTGGGCTGTCTTGGGGCCTTCTGGAGCTGGGGGCTCGATTGGGGAGCGTTTTTATCCGCGTTCGGGCGATCTTGGGGGGGTCTTGGGCCGTCTTGGGCCCGTTGTGACAAGAAGGAATGGGACGATGCTCGCCTCCTGGGGGCCCCTTAGGAGGTCCTCTGGGAGTGGTCTTGGGCCGTCCCCCGGCCCATGCTGAAGCAATTTTCTACCGTCTGGAAGGCACATGGGGCGTCTTGAAGCCTTCGGGGGGCCCGAGGAGGCACAGGAAGCGCCCTTGAGCGTTCAAAGAGGCCCGCCAGCGCCCGGGACTAAAGTCAGGTGCGGGGGGGGGGGGCAGCTCTGAAAAAGTGGGGGGCCCCAGGCCCAGGGACACGGTCGCCGATTGTAGTAAATACACAACCAAGTTTACAACACGAACTACATAGCTTATACCACATAGCTTGTGCCGCATGGCCTACAACACGGAGCGTTCACCCCGTATCTTACATCGAAGAATTGGCGCCACGCAGATTGCACTCCTCCATGGCTTGCACTTGGGTTCACAACCTCCCCCCCCGATGGGATGGGCCCCAGGATTCCACAGGCCGCACCCCCCAGATGGGATAGAGAGGACGACGACGACGACGACGACGACGACGACGACGACGACGACGACGACGACGACGACGACGACGGCGGCACCGCAGCAACACCCCACACCCACAGGAGGTCTCTCAGGGGACTCTTGGAGGCAGTTTTGATGCCTCTTGGGGGCCGTTCTGTGGCCGTTCTGGGGCCTCTTCTGGGCCCCATTGGGGCCTCTTGGGGACGAGGCCTCGTGGATGTCCACTGGGATTTCGCGGGGAGCCTCTCGGGTGACTCTTGGAGGCAGATGCGACGCGAGAAACGTCGACGCGCCAGGAGGGGCGGGGGCATCGGCACAGTCATTCACCACGCCGCGCCCACAGGGCCACGACCACAGGGGGTTCGGGGGGGGGGCGATCTCACTCGCGAGACCTTCGCGAGGCCCACGGGCGTGCCCATCCAGCGGGGGGGGGCCGATCCCATTAGCATTGGGGGGGTGGGGAGCCTTGGATCTCATACAAACATAGATATCTATACATATATGAGAGAAAGATATAGATCAATTGATATACATAAACAGATACAGTAGGCACATTCGCGCGCGCTCCACGCGCGATTTTAAAATAGATAGCTCCAGGCGCTGGGAAGTCCATACCGGATCGTTTTTGACCCCTCAGTCTCCAACTGCCCTGCTCACCGAACTAATATTTTTGTGGCTGTCGTCTCCCGTCCTGCTTCTTGAACTTCCCATGTCTGCTGTTGCTTCCTCAACCCTCGCCCAGGCAGGCGAGAGGGTGCATATTGAGAAGGAAAGAAATCCGTGAAGGAAACCGGAAGAATGAGGCGGCCAGAAAGCAGGACGGAGGAGACGGAAGGATGAAGGACCAGGAGGCAAAATAGGTAGGCAGATAGAAGGAGGATCTGAAGGGAAGGAGGCAGGATAGGTAGGAGTCTGGATGGAAGGTGGAACGGAGAAATTTACACACCGACCGGAGGGAGAATGCAGCTCCCATTCGACACGTCCTCTGGAGATTCCCCTCCTCCTGACGCTCTTCTCCTTCTACTCCTCATGTCGCCGCATCATCCACTCTCTCATCTTCTCCTCCTCGTGTGTCTTTCCGAGAATCCTCGGCCCGGTCGCCAGCGTGCCTGGGTTGTGGGTCATAAGTCTTTTGGGTGTTCGTCGGGATGTCGTGTCAGGGTTCTCGGGGGCGCTTCGGAAGCAATTTTGAAGCCTCTTGGGCCGCTGGTTTGAAGCCTCTTGGGGCGTCTTGGGGGGCTCTTGGGGGTCTCTTGGGGCCTTTGGGGGGCTCCTCGGAGCATCTTGGGGCGGAAAGCTCGACTTGTTGGTTCGGGCTCCCGCTCTTTGGCCGCTTTGGGGGCCGTCTTCGGGCTCTCTTGGGCGACTCTTGGGCCGTCTTGGGGCTCTCCTGGGCTGTCTTGGGGCGCTCTTGGGAACCTCTTGGCCTGTCTTGGGGCAGTCTTGGGGGCTCCATGGGCCGTCTTCAACGCTGTAAAAGCAGAAAAGCTGTGTATGCTAAAAATGCACGTCTGCCTAAGAAATAAAACAATTTAGGGCATGTTGGGGCGCTCTTGGGAGTGCTCTTGGAGGCCTCTCGGTGCGGCTGGGCGGTCTCTTCGCACGTCTTGGGGCCATATTAGGCATCTTGGAGAAGTCATTCAACGATTCGGATCCCTCTTGGGCCATCGCGGTGGTTTCGGGGCCCCTCCTGGCACGTCTTGGAGGGGGCCAGGTGCCCTGTCACCGGCATGGAGGCCACGAAGCGCTGTACTGGGCGGCGAGGGCGCATGCCGACTGCGCCACGGGAGCCTTCGGTGGTGGAATCACCCTATGGGGCCACGAAACGCTGTGCTGCGTCGGGGAGGCGCATGCGGCCGCGGCCACCAGGGCCTTCGGTAGCTCCCTATTCGGCCACGAAGCCCTGTATTGGGCGGGGGGACCGCATGCGGCCGCGGTCACTGGAGCGCTCGGTGGAGCTTTCCATGGGGCCACGAAACGCTGTGCTGAGTGGGGAAATCACATGCGGCCGCGGCCACTGGGGCCTTCGGTGGAGCTCCCAATGGGGCCACGAAGCGCTGCACCCGGCCAGAGGAGACGCATGCGGACTGCACCACAAGGACCTTCGGCGAAGTGGGGCCACGAACCGTGCGAGGGGTGCGCCGTAATGCGTGGGGGAGACGCATCGTGGAACTGCCTATGGGGCCACGAATCGTGAGAGGGGTGTGCCGTAATGGGTGGGGGAAACACACGCGGACTGCGCCACTGGGGCCTTCGGCGGAGATCCTTGTGGGCCCACGAACCGCGCGAGGGGTGCGCCGTAATGGGCGGGGAAGACGCATGGGGCCACGAACTGTGAGAGGGATGTGCCATTACGGGTGGGGAAACAGATGCGGACTGCGCCACGGGGGCCTCTTGGGTGGAGCTCCTTATGGGGGCACGGACACGAAACGTGTGAGTGGTGTGCCGACATGGACATGCGGAGGGCAGAGGACAGGAGGGGGAGAAGGAGGAGGGAGGGGAGCAGGGGGAGGAGGAAGGAGGGAGGGAACGCGGGGCGATGCGTATTGGAAACGAAGACACAACACCACAGGATGATTTGGAAAAAAAAGGCTGGATAAAACAATCATAACGACGGAGATCTGGAGATGCCAAGCGGCGCCTCGCAGGGCCGCCCGCGCGCCAGGCGCCCGCCAAACCGCCCGAGGACCGCGGCTGCGGCCGAGCCGCCGGGCCGCCGAGCCGCCGCCACGGCAGGCCGCTGCACGGGCCACGGCGGCGGCCGCCCGCCGCTGGCAGCGCTCGGCAGCGGCGGCGGTCGGTCGGCCAGCGACGTCGGCGAGAGGGCGAGCGGGCGTGTCGGCGCACGGCCAGCGGCCGGCGCTCGGCGGCGACGCTCGGCGGCGGCGGCGGCGGTCGGCAAGCACAGTGGCGGTCGGTCCGCAGACGGCGTCGGCGAGCGGGCGGGACAGCGCTGGCAGGGCGGCGGGGCGGCGGTGCGTGCCTGCGCCGCTCGCGCCAGCGCCGCCGTCGTCCTGCGCAAGGCCCTTGCGCGGGCGGGGCGGGTCCCAGCGAGTGGTGCCCCGCGGGCGCGCCGCCGCCAGGGGGCGGAGGTGCAGGAAGAGGGGGAGCGGGGGGAGGGAGGAGCGAAGGGAGGAGCGGAGAGGGGGCGGAGGCCTCCTCCTCCTCCTCCTCCTCCTCCTCCTCCTCCTCCTCCTCCTCCTCTCCTCCTCCTGAGCCTCCTCCTCCCCTCCTCCTCCTCCTTTCCTCCTCCCCCTCCTCCTCCTCCTCCTTCTTTCCTCTTCCTCCCTCCTCCTCCTCCTCCTCCTCCTCCTTTCCTTGTCATCCTTCTCCTCCTCCCCCTCAACCTCCTCGTCATCTTCATCCTCATTTTTCTTCTAGTCCTCCTTCTCTCCTCATCCTGCTCTCCTCCTCCTCCTCCTCCTGCTCCTCTTCTTCTCTCTTCCTCCTCCTCCTCTCCTCCTCCTCCTCCTCCTCCTCCTCTTCCTCCTCCTGCTTTTCCTCCTCCTCCTCCTCCTCCTCGTCCTCCTGCTCCTCCTCCTCCTCCTCCACCACCTCATCCTCCTCTTCCTCCTCCTGCTTTTCCTCCTGCTCCTCCTCCTCCTCCTCCTTCTCCTCCTTCTCCTCCTCTGTTTCTTATTATTAGCATGACTAGTCTTATTAATACTATGTTTATTATTCGTATTATTAGTAGTATTTCAGTGGTATTATTAGTATTGGTATTAGTATCAGTAGTATTATTGGTATTAGTATTAATATTAGCATAAGTATTATTAGCATTGGTATGAGTATTATTCGTCTTATTAATAGTATTAGTATCCGTATTATTATTATTACTCATATTATTATTGTTAATAGTATCATTGTTCTTAGTATGACGATTCGTCGTCTTATTATTTGTAGTAGTATTATTATGATTAGTGTTAGTCTTCTTCTTAAGTTTATTGTTCTTGTTATTAGTATTGTTATTCTTATCGTCATGAGTATTATTAGTCGGATTATTATTATCGTTATTATTATTATTATCATTATTAGTAGTGTTATTCTTCATAGTATTATTCTTATTCGTATTATTCATCTTCTTCTTATTATTCATCATCATCATCAGCATCATCAGCACCATCATCAGCTGCATCATCATCATCATCAGCAGCATCAGCATCAGCAGCAGCATCATCATCAGCATCATCATAGTCATCATCAGCAGCATCATCACCATCACCATAATCATCATCATCATCATCAGCAGCAGCAGCATCATCAGCATCAGTATCAGCATCATCGTCAGCATCCTCATCATCAGCATCATCATCCGCACCATCATCATCATCATCATCATCATCATCATCATAATCAGCATCATCATCAACGTCATCAGCGACATCATCATCATCATCATCATCGTCGTCATCATCATCAGCAGCAGCAGCATCAGCATCAGCATCATCATCATCATCCTGCATGCTGTCTACTGCCATCATCATCAACTGCAACCTCATCACCATCGTCGTCATCGTCACCGTAATTCCCAACATCCTAAGTGGGGTGATCGCTCTCCTTGGACACCCCGCGCAGGAACCCTTCGCCCACTCCTCATGTCGTCAATATCAGCATAAGCATCATCAGCAGCATCATCAGCATCAGCATCAGCATCAGCATCATCACCAGCATCAGCATCATCCTCATCATCCTCATCGTCATCATTATCATCATCATAATCAGGATCAGCATCCGCATGAGCATCATCATCACCAGTATTATCATTACCATCACAATCAGCATCTCCTTCTTCTCCATCATCAGCATCATCAGCATCATTATCAGCATCATCAGCATCATTATCATCGCCGCCATCATCATCATCAGCATCACCATCATCATCAGCATCAGCATCATCAGCACCACCATCACAATCAGCACTATCGTTTTCATCATGTTTAATCGTAAACAATCACCATCCTTTCCCACATCCTAAATAGGGCTATTGTTTTCCTCATCCCATCTCCCCATTACCTCGCAGTACCTCACCCCATCTCCTGTCTCTCGCTCTCTCTCTCTCTTTCTCTCTCTCTCTCTCTCTCTCTCTCTCTCTCTCGCTCGCTATCATCCGAATCCTCATCCGCACTCCCTCACTCACTCACTCATTCACTCGCTCACTCACTCATTCGCTCACACGCCATCACACCATGGCCATCACCATTATCATCACCACCATCGCCATCATGCCCCATGCCCTCACGCACTCACATCACACTCTCACACTCACACACACACAAACTATCTCTCTCTCTCTCTCTCACCTTCTCTCTCTCTCTCTCTCTCTCTCTCTCTCTCGCACACACTCACATACTCACCTCGAGGGAAGTCTCGAGCGGGAGCCCCATCCCGATGGGTCCCGCACTCATGGTTGTTTAATCACAGCGGGTCTTCCCTCCTCGAACCTGCAATTGTCGTCACGCGTGGGTTCTTCAGGCCTGAATATGGGAGACGTCTAGAGCGGGAGCCTCGTTTGTGAGCAAACCGCGAGGAAGTTTCAGGCGGGAGCCCCCCCTCCCTGTGGCGCCCGCACCTCCTGTTTTTTATGTGTATCAATGGGGGGCTATCCTCAAACCTGTAACTGTCGTCACTTCTGGGATATTCAAGCCTGAGTATGGGGACATCTCAAGCGGAACCATCGTATGCGAGTGAATCGCGAGGAAGTCTCAAACGGTGGCCCCTCCCTACGGGCCCGAACTTCACATTTTCTATCCCAAAGGGCCAACCTCAAAACTGTAATTGTCGTCGCGTTTGGGCTCTCCACGCCTGAAACAAAACACATTCAAAGCGGGAGCCTCATCGGTGACTGAATCGCGATGGAATCTCAAGCGGGAACCCCCGCGCCATGGGGCCCGCGTCCCACGTTCTTTGTCACAGCGGGTCATCGTCAAACTAAAGCTGTCGTCACTACTGGGTTCCCCTGGCCCGACTATGGAGGAAGTCTCGAACGGGAGCCTCGTCTGCGAGTGAATTGCGAGGACATCTCAATCGGGAGCCCCCTCTCCATGGGGCCCGCACTTCACAATTTAAACACACGGGGTCATCCTCAAGCCTGTGCCTGTCGTCACTCTTGGGCCCACCATGCCTGAATACGGAGAAAGTCTCAAAAGGGAGCATCGTGTGTGAGAACATCGCGAGGAAGTCTCTAGCGTTTCTCTATGGGCCCCCACCTCCAAATTCGAATCCGACCGGGTCATCGGAAATCTATAACTCTCGCCACTTTGCGGCTCCTCAGGCTTGAATGTGGAAGACAGTTCGAGCAGGGGCGTCGTCTGTGAGTGAGTCGCGAGGAAATCCTGAGCCAGAGCCTTTCCTTATGGGGTCCCCACTCCCATGTTCGAATCCGAACGGGTCATCCGAAACCTGTAACAGTAGTCACGATTGGGCTCCTCCAGCCTGTATATGGAGGGCGTCTCCAGCGGAGGCGTCGTCCGTGAGTAAATCGCGAGGAAGTCTCGACCTGGGGCCCCTCCCTATGGGGTTCCCATTTCCACGTTCGACTCCGAGCGGGTCATCCGAATCATGTAACTGCCGTCACTTCTGAGCTCCTCAGGCCTGAATCTGGAGGAACTGCGAGTGAATCGCGATGACGTCTTGAGCGGGAGCCCCTCCTTGCGGGGTCCCCACACCCACGTTCGAAGCCGAGCGGGCCATGCGACTCCAGTAACTGTCGTCACTTCTGTGCTCCTCAAGCCTGAGAATGGAGGAGATTCCGAAAGGGGGCATCGTCTGAGTGGATCGCGCGGAAGTCTCGAGCGGGAACCCCTCCCTGAAGGGCTCCCACGTCCATGTTAGAAAGGAGGGCTGCGAGTTCCAGGGCTGAGGTGGAGCTCGCGGCCGAGCTAGGCTTCGCGCTGCCTCCCGCCTGAGCGCGGCGGCGCCCAGCTCGAGGCCCGCGGGGTTGTCCCGACGGTTTGCTCCCGCGCCCCAGCTGCCCACGGGGTTGTCCCAACGGCCTGGCCCGCGGGGTTGCCCCGACGGCTTCGCGATCCGGCCATCAGAGAACGCGCGCATGCCGGCCGTGGCGGCGAGGGCGCCGAGGAAAATCGGCATGCGTGCCCCAGCCCGGCGTAAGGAGAGGAGCATAAGAGGACAGGCGGGATTGAGAGGGAGAAGGAGGAGGTGGAGGAGAAGGAGGAAAAGGACGAGGAGGAGGAGGACGAGGAGGAGGAGGACGAGGAGGAGGAGGCAGGAGGAGAAGGAGAAGGCAGGAGGGGGTAGGAGGAGGGAGCAGGAGGATATCCCCAGCCAAGCTGAAAATATGATCATGTTCATGTGAGGTCCTACCGTCGGAATCGTTTTCCTCCTCCTCCTCATCATCATCATCCTCATCAGCATGATCATCATGATCATCAACAGCAGCAGCGGCATCAGCATCAGTATCAGCATCAGCGTCAGCATCCTCAGCAACAGCATCAACATCAACCCCAGCATTGGCATCAGGATCGGCATCGACACCGACACCGACATCCTCATCACCACCACCACCACAATCATCATCGTCATCATCAGCAGCAGCAGTATGATAATCAACAACAACAACAACAACAACAACAACAACAACAACAACAACAACAACAACAATCATTTTACCCGAACGCGTGGTGTTCTCCCCAGTGCCAGGGTTTTCATACGACACCAGGCAATACCCCCACTTCGTGGGGGGGCATTACAAGCTCTACCAAATATCCAAACGACTCTTCGCGACCACCCAAACCCAGCTTCCCGCCCTATGACGTTGGGACACTTCACTTCGTGGCGTGCGGACGACCGTGGCTACTACAGGGCAAGGGTTTTTGGAGATTTCGGCGTGCGCGCGCGAAGAAAAAACGAATGTGTCCCGCATGGTATTATTTGACAGGGATGATGGCCCTGGCAGGTGCGCAACCGTTGTCGCAGAAGTTCGAAAAAGTTGCTCGCAAAAGCCCGTTTGACAGAAATGTTTAAAAAGTGTTGGGTTTCCTACGAATCCGCAAGAGCGCGCGGGATG